GAGAACTAAGCATTTTATTAAAATTAAGCCAATAAATACATAATTTCACTTTCGATCTACTTAATCATTTCAAGGTTTTCTTCGGTTCGGCAGCTTCTTTATCATCATTTTTCTCAATTTCAAAAGGAGTAGTTGTCGGGAATGAAAAATATAAACTAAAACTAATCAATTGGATGTGTCATAGAGTATGACGGTTGATAGAATACATTAACTTTATGTATCTGTGGATTGTGCATGTGACGAATGTGTTTATATGCATTATGTGTAGACGGTTGATAGAATGCATTAATTTTATGTATTGATTGATTGTGTATGTGATTCTGTGTTTATATGCCTTACGTGTGTATGGGAGGAGATGGGGGATGTACTCCACGGTTTAGGGGAAGATGGGGGATGTACCTCTAAACCGGTTAATGGTTAATGGTTTAGGGGAAGATGGGGGATGTACCTCTAAACCGGTTATTGGAATGTTGATACAGCTCATATGCTTATCTGTTGAAGTATTGATATAGCTCATATGCTTATCTATTGAAAAGTTTATTTGATTTGATATAGCACTAAAATGTATATCATTATTGTTTGCGAAACACGGAAGTAGTTTATGTGTTATTGATACAACACCAAAATGTGTATCCACCTTGGATTTCGAAAATGTTTTAGTGATGAACTATAATCTCATCAAATGTTTTGGCCAGAGTACTGAGTCTTGTTTTCAAACTCAAAGTTGAATAAGAAAGAAAAGTGAATTGTAATGTAGACTTGGTTGTCTTGGAATTTTTATAAGATGTAAATGGAAGTGTCAGTGTTGACCATCTATCAGTTGCTAATCTCTTAGTCATTGTTCATAGTTGGTTTAGTACATTTCTACTGGGCTGTGGCTCACCCTATATGGGAACATCATTTTCAGGTACAGGTAGCATGCCACCTCCAAGGGCATAGCTTGGGAGGCTAGAGACGGATAGACTTTTGTTGTCTTATCTCCTTTTGGATGTATTACGTGTAAATTCAAGCCAAGGGCTTAATGTGTAATTGAGTTAGTACTCTCTTTTGCAACCAAGTGTTAACTTGGAAAGCTGTAAGCCCGTAAGGCATTTGCTTCTGTTGTAACCATGTAATACTTTTGTAATGAAATACTCTAATAAATAGATGAATGTGGACTTTTATGTATCAATGCATGTCTCGATATGGATGGGTTTAATGTTGTTATTTTTTGAGGGCGTTACACATTTCGTGAAGGTAAATGATAGTTCTAGTTATATCAGAGTAATGATGGATATACGAAACATAATAGTTATACAGAATGATGTGTCAAAATGATATTTATTCATTTCAAATCAAAAGACTCATGAAAGTGACTTGTTATTTCAAAATTGCCATTGACACGCCATTCTAGTGGACTTTTTTGTACATAAATTCTGTTTGCAAATCAGTTTTCTTTCTTATCTAGTTTAGAGCAGATTGGATTGTATGAATGAAATTTAACTCTTCATCTCCTATGCGGACAGGTGTTGTCAATTGGGGATAAAAATGACAGAGAAGAGCAAGCGAAGTGCATTTGTGTTAATCCAAGAAGACTGGCTAGGGGCGAAGGAGCAGGTTTCTTTGTGGAACTTAACTACGGGGGAAGCCCTGATTCAACTAGTGCTTCAGTTATAAGCATATAGACCTTAAACTACCGCGTGTAGTGATTCAACAAGTGCTTCAAAAAAGTAAACCCCAAACTTATAGAGCTTGCAGTGGCAGATGATATCAGTTTGTTTGGAAGCAAACTAGAGACCTATCATAGTGGACACCAAATTCTAATGGAGGAACTTAGCACCATGAAAACTGTTTAGGGAGTGCTGTCATGTAGTACTAGTTTCACATCACAATTAAGGTGATGTTACTAACATGATGTTCTATTAATGTATTATTATTGTCTTTTCAAGGTGACAATGATTTTGCTCTTTACCAACCAAAAAAAGAAGGGAAAAGGAAAAGAAAAGAAAAGTCATTTTTGGTTGTGTTTTTGTTTTCTTTTATTTTTGCTTTTCATGTTTTCAGAAATACAAGCAATGAAAAGTTTGACAATCATTTTTATTTTGCATGAAAATAATTGTTATTTTTTAAAAGGCAAATGCTAATGAATGTCTTTGTGGCAATTGTCTTGGAAATAGTTAAAAAAATGTTTAAAAAATAATATTTTGAATTCAGCTAAATAAGAAAAGTGTTTTGATTTCAATAAGCCTCTTATTTCTTGTGTCTCATTAACACTTGTTTAGAATTCTTTTTTCAAAAAAATAGGTGTTTATAGAAATTAATAATAAATAAATAAATAAATTCCTTTAAAGTAATTTTCAGGAATAGTTTGCCTAACAAATTTTTTTGTTTTTGTTTTTGTTTTTTTTCTAAACTAATTATAAATAAAAACATGAAATCATAATCAAATTTGGCAGTTGTAATCTAGGTCATTATTGAGGAAGGGGTATTTTCTTTTAATTTAATTGGTGGTTAAATTTGTGGTTAGTTTAGTTGCTCCACCATCCGCCTTCCAATCCAAAAATGGGGAATATGCTGAAGAATATGATTTGTATTACAAAGCTCTTATGAAAAAACATCTCTGTAAAAATTATCCTATCGTTTAAAAAATTTATATTAATTGTGTTCTTAATGAATAGTAAAAATTAAATGATTATATGACCTTAAAAATAAAAAATAATAATGAATAAATTATAAAAGATCATTGGATAGACATTAGACACATAAATATTCCAGATTTACTAGATAATTTCTACTACATAGTGGGTCTACCAATCAAATCCTCTCTGCATATTCCAAAGCTGTCATCCTTCATACACAACCACTAGCCTTTGTCAATTTTATTTTTTTAATAAATTGAATGCTTTTACCACTGTTATCTTTCTTTTCTTTTTCTTTTCCTTGTTTCTTTTTTTCACAATTAATTAGTGCCGTATCATTATTTATGATGAACATTAATTATTTTGAGTGATTTTATGAAAAAAAATAAATTAT